TGGTTTCCATATTTCCTTAATTATCCAATTCTGAGCTAAACTGGTCTCTAAATTATTTCAGTAAAGCTGCTGTGGAAACAAAAGCACATCGTATTTTAACTGTTCAGATTAAATTTGTCCAACGTCTAACCACCAGACGGTAAAAACCGAAATCAGATGAAACATATTTCTGAGCGGCAGCTTTAGAGAGAAGAAAATAACTCAGAATCTCTTTGCCAACAAACTGACATGAATGTATCTGCATTGTAAAGCAGGGAGTGTTTTAGACAATTAAAGAATGTCAACGGGCACGTCTACCCAGCTCTGCTCTCTGACATCAACAGCATTGTTTTTTTTGTTGTTTTTTCTGTCCAAACTAAACAGGAATGATGGGACTCTGTTCTTCTGTTCATAATCTGACTTCCAGTGAAATCAGTCGTTATTATTTAAACAGAATAAGCAACATTAGGTTAGACAGCACTAAGCATTTCTGTTTATAAATGTTAATCTGGTACACAGAAAGGGGTATGATTGTTACACTGGAGGTATGTTACAAATAAACCCCTGATTTCTGTTTCTGGGAGCAAACATCAGGGTAGAAAGTCCCCACAAAGTCCTTTCTCATTAAAGTGATTACAGAGTGGTTTCACTAACATCAGGTGGCTAAAAGAGTTTGATCAATATCTCTGAATCATATAAATTTCTCAGCTTTGTGTAGCTAAAGCTGCAAAGACCAGCATGGTTTTATTTCAAATTCCTGAGTGAAAAAGAGCATCCACAAAACTCAGTGAGGAGCAGGTTTCAGCCCGAGAAAAAAAAAGAATTTTTCAGAAAATTATTTACATCTTTATGTGAGCTCATATCAGCCGAGTAGTATTTTACAGTACTAGGAAATCAAAGTACTAAATCACATGTAGCTGAGGAAATTTAATAACTACCCTTATTTTATACTTCATCAAAAAGTGATTTTGTAGTCAAACTTAATCCTTTCATTCACTGTTTCTTTTTGCTTCATAAGTTTGTCATTTGACAGAATAAATAAAATAAAATAAAAATAAAAAACAGCTGTAATATGCAAAGCAAAAGTAATTATTTCAGCGCCTGTATGCATTCAAGGTAAAAATAGCAAAGTTGCATAAGTTGTATAATGAATCTAAAAGAAAACCGTTATGACATTCATAAACTTTCATTCATGAACTTCATCATTAAAGTTTTCCTTCAGTAAATGTTTACCTCCAATTCTCCAACAGAACCAAAGGACCAAGAATTCAGGATAGTTCTTGTTGGAAAAACTGGAAATGGAAAGAGTGCATCAGGAAATACCATCCTAGGGGAGAGACGTTTTAAATCAAAGATTTCTTCTGCGGGAGTGACGGCAAATTGTCAGAAGGAAACTCGAGTGTTTGATGGTAAAATACTGGATGTTATTGATACTCCAGGGCTGTTCAACCCCGATAAAAACAATGAGGAGCTGGTGAAAGAGATAGCTAAGTGTATTTCTTTTGCGGCTCCTGGTCCTCATGCGATCCTGGTTGTGATCAAACCGACCAGGTTCACAAAAGATGAACAAGAAACAGTGAAAATCATCCAGAAAATGTTTGGAGAAGAAGCAACACGTTACACAATGGTGTTGTTCACCCAAGGAGACGCCCTGAAGGAGGAAGAGGTTTCCATAGAAGAAATAATGGATCAGAATGAAGATCTGGATGAGTTTGTCTGTCAGTGCCATGGAGGTTATCACGTGTTTGACAATAAGGATCTTGATGAGTCTCAGGTCCACGAGCTGCTGGATAAGATCAACAATATGGTTCAGAAGAACGGAGGAGGATTCTACACCTACGAGATGTTTGAAGCAGCTCAGAAAGCAAAGAAAAAAGAAGAGCAACGACTTTGGAGAGCAAACCCACATATGAACCCCAAAGAAGCCAGAAGACTAGCAGAGAAGGACAACCCATTCATTAGAGATGATCTGAGAGCTGCTGGATGCCTTGTTGGAGGTCAGTTGGAACTTCTGTTGTTAAAGCTTCTAATTTAATTCGAGCTGCTGTGGAAACAAAAGCACATCGTATATTAACTAATCTGTTCAGTTTGTCTAACATCAAACCACAGTAAAAACAGGAGTCAGATGAAACATATTTCTGAGCTTCATCTATTGGAGAAAGGGAGTTATCTCAGAATCCGTTTGCTACAAAACTGATATGAATGTTTTCCCTCTTTGAGCAGGTATGTTATGTTTTGGAGGAACCTGGAGCTGCTTTAATTCTGCTCTGAGTCTCCTCCTTCTAAGTCTCTCTAAACCACATCTGGGTTTTGTTTCAAAGAGCTGCCACCAAAACAAGTGACAGATTTGACTGAGTTTGAGTCTGAGCAGCAGTCATTATTTAAACAGAATAAGCAACATTAGGCTAGAAGGCATTAAGCATTTCTGTTTATAAATGTTAATTTGATACACAGAGAGGGGTATGATTGTTACACTGGAGGCATGTTACAGATAAAGCCCTGATTTCTGTTTCTGGGAGCAAACATCAGGGTAGAAAAGTCCCCACAAAGTCCTCTCTCATTAAAGCGATTACAGAGTGGTTTCACTAACATCAGGTGGCTAAAAGAGTTTGATAAATATCTCTGAATCATATAAATTCCTCAGCTTTGTGTTGTTAAAGCTGCACTCAGGTTCACTTTGTAAAGACCAGCATGGTTTTACTCTATGTTCCACAATAAAATAGTCTTTTGTGTTTCTGGTTCCTGTTCAGGCTCAGAGGAGCTTTCATACATCTCCTCTATAATTAAAGTTTTCCTTCAGTAAATGTTTTCCTCCATTTCTCCAACAGAACCAATGGAACCAGAACTCAGGATGGTTCTTGTTGGAAAAACTGGAACTGGAAAGAGTTCAGCAGGAAACACCATCCTAGGGGAGAAATATTTTAAGACTTCGTCTAGAGGAGTGGTAATAGATTTTCAGAAGGGAACTCGAGTGTTTGGTGGTAAAATACTGGATGTTATTGATACTCCAGGGCTGTTTGACCCCATTAGGAGCAATGAAGAGCTGGGTAAAGAGATAGCTAAGTGTATTTGTTTTGCGGCTCCTGGTCCTCATGCGTTCCTGGTTGTGATCCAACCAAACAGGTTCACAAAAGAAGAACAAGAAACAGTGAAAATCCTCCAGAAAACATTTGGAGAAGAAGCAGCACGTTACACAATGGTGTTGTTCACCCATGGAGACCTCCTGAAGGAGGAAGGCGTCTCCATAGAAGAAATAATAGGTCAGAATCCAGCTCTGACTGAGTTTGTTGATCAGTGCAAGGGAGGTTATCATGTGTTTGAAAATAAGGATCCTGATGAGTCTCAGGTCCACGAGCTGCTGGATAAGATCAGCAGAATGGTTCAGAGGAACGGAGGAGGATTCTACACCAATGACATGTTCCAAGCAGCTCAGAAAGCAAAGAGAGAAGAAGAGGAACAACTTCTGAAAGAAAACCCAGATATGAACTCCGAAGAAGCAAAAAGACTAGCAGAGATGGACAACTCATTCATTAGAGCTTGTCTGAGAGCTGCTGCAGCTGCTGTTGGAGCCGTTTCTAGAGCTGCTGCAGCAATAAAAGAGAGAACATGCATCATTCAGTGATTATATCTTTTACATCTCAGCTCCAATTAATTAAAAGGTTCATTAAACCTAAATATCTGGATGTGAATAATATCAACACTTTTTGTGATTAAAATCTTTTTCTTATTTGGTCAGATTGTCTGTTTCATGCTCAGTAAACAAATGTTAGAAATCAGGGTTCTTTTCTTTTGCTGTCGGAGAGCTTTGGTGTTAACAGGCAAATATCAGCTGTTCTGTATCTGAATAACAACTCTGAAATAAATCTCCAATCCCATCCTGTCTCTGGACCTTTATTCTACCTGTTCTGTCAGTGTGCTCTGAGGCTCAGAGGGTTTCTAATGCGCACCGTCCTGTGCTTTCAGGACCAGGCGCTGACCTCAGAGTGGTTCTGGTGGGTCAGGAAAGAGTGGGGAAGAGCTCAGCGGGAAACACCATCCTGGGAAAGAAGGAGTTTAACTGTCGGATCAGCTCCATCCCGCTGACTGTGAGCTCTGAAAAGATAGAAGGGGAGTTTCGGGGCCGCAGAGTCTCTGTGGTGGATACCCCTGGACTCTGCAGCTCCCAGCTGTCTGCACAGCAGGTGGAAGCAGAGCTGATTAAAGCCGTCGAGCTGAGCTATCCGGGGCCTCACGTCTTCCTGCTCACGCTCCAGCTGGGAAGATTCACCCCCCAAGAGCAGAGGGGGCTGCAGACCCTGCAGAGCATGCTGAGTCCTGAGGTGTCCCAACACACCATGCTGCTGTTCACCTATGGAGACCGGCTGGAGGACATGAGCATGGAGCAGCTCATCAGGGAGGATGTCATCCTGCAGGGGCTGCTGCAGAGCTGCAGCGGGGTGTACCATGTGTTCAACAACAGGGAGACAGGAGACCGGAGGCAGGTCCAGGAGCTGCTGGACAAGATAGACTCCATCTCAAAGGGGGGCACAGTCCACTATGAGATGGGAGCCCAGACAAGGGTCTCAGGGGTCTGGGGTCTTCCTATTAAGGTTATTGGAAATATTCGAAAGGGCGGTGACTGGTTATGTTCTAAGATAACTGGTTAGGTCATATATATAGATGAAAAAAATCAGAAGATGAGCAGGCTGGGATTGAAGGAATAGAATTAGGAGATGATTTAAGGTGTCTTTCAGACCAACATCTGTAGAGTCTGAACAGTTAAATTGTAAAATATGACTTCTGATTCCTTGTATGACTGCTCATTAAACATCTGATGAAGATAGGTGTTGGTCTTTTGATTCTCAGTAAACTCACCCTCACTAACCCACTGTCAAACCGTCCTGTAGCTCCATCTTCCACTGTACGGCAAGGCAATCTAATCTGTATGGACCACCTCATGGACAACACAATTTAAAGTGCTTTATATATAAGATTACGATAGAAAAATGCATTAAAGAGGGAGAGTGTAGAAGGAGAAATTAAGAATAAGTTAAACAGAATAAAACTGGAGCAGCTCAGATCATATTTGTTCTTTGAAAAGAATCTATTCAAATAGACCTGAAGATTAACAGATTAAGAGAAACTTGCAAATACTTGTTGTACCATCTTAACAAGGTTAAGTTACAGTTTAATTACGTGGGAGCAACCAACAAGTGACATGACGTAAGTGACAAAGTACAAATCTAAAGTAAGCAAATGAGAGCCAACAAGTTCCTCCTGTATTCTCCAACACATCTGAGCCTCGAAAGGCAACAGCTGAACAGGAACAAAGCAAAGAAGATCCACTAAGACCCTCATTTACATACTCTCCTGTCCTCCTAAGTGCTTTAGGGAGCCCCTGAAGGCTGGAGTTAGACTCCTGTGCTAGGAGTCTAACTCCAGCCTTCAGGGCCTCCGTCCTGCAGACTTTAGAGGTTTCTCTGCTCCAATTCAGCTGATTCTCATCAGCACCACTAGAGTGCAGAGTTTAACAATGTCTGAAAGAGATCCGGGTTAAACTTGTGCTTTAGGAGGACAGGGAGAATTTCCCTGTTCAACTTTAATCTGCTAAAACTGGTTTACCTGGTCTGATGCAGCGGCCATTTTCTCTTACTGGAAAACAGGTGAGCTCATATCTGTGTTCAGAAATGAACAGTCATATAAAACAATGAGACAAAACACCACATTCAGAGCAGATAAACCAGATATTTTCCTTCAAAGTGGGTTTATTTATTTTGGTAACATCTGATCTATTGTTTTTTATTAGTTTCTCCCACTCTGACACTGTGTGATCAGCACTTTCATGTTACAAAAAGACGGTTCAACAAACAAGCAGGTCTCTGAAAGCCGAACAGTCTCAGGAATCCTGCACATCTGCTGGCAAAGGCTGCTGGGAGATGCAGTTTCATGCAAACAAGCATAAATTAAAGGGGGAGGAGTTCAGAACACTGTCCAAAGGATTAAATATGAGTTTATCTCAGAATGAGATAAACACATTAAAGCTTTAGAAACTATCAAAATGGTCAGTGTGAGAATGCACCATCAGCAGGCTGGTGCAGAAGTTAATGCTTTAAGGGGATCCATTTAAAGAGAATCAGGAGAGTTTGAGCAGAAAAACATCTAAAATCTGCAGGACAGCAGCCAAAAAGGATAACTTTAAGTCATTGCTTAATTATCACTGCAAGATAAAACACCTCCTTCTTTATGTTCATCCAAAAGTAAACGTACAGGAAGTACTAAATAAAGAGCAGCAGAGATAAAAAAAAAACTGAAGATAATATTAATAATCACTTAATGATCTACACAATATCCTTAAAAAATCCTTTTTTCAACTGTTTAATTTATTCAGGAAAGATAGATTTACAGTGCAATGTTCATAAATAAATGTTAAAAGTTCCTTATTCCTATTATAAAATTATACTGTGACATTCTTATGGATACAGATGGAACTGAAGATTTATGGATCATTTTTGATTAGTAAACATCTCTTACCAACTTTAAAATTATACTTCAGACAGAAAGAAAACAGAATAGAAATAGATTAACATTTTTTAGCTGAACTAAATCATTTATGTATTTCCTAAAGCTATTTATAGCTTTAAAATAATTTATTTTGAGTTGAAATAACATAAAATATGTTTAAAAAATGTCCAAAACATTTTTTTTTTAAAGGTCTGAAAAGTGAGTGTTTTTACCGTTGTTCTAACTGTTCTCATGGCTCTTTCGTTTGATTGGTTTAAAGTCCGGTGGCTCCGGCCAATCCGGTGACAGTCTCCGGGCTGCTGGGCAGGACTCACCGGCAGCCGTTGGAGGCAGATCCAGCTGTCATCAGCACGGTTAAGACACCGAAGACTGACAAACGCCGATAATTTAATGGTTTACGAATATTTAGCTGATGTGTGGAGCTGCTGTAACCTATCAGAAGGTATGTACTGGTAAATGAAATTTATTTTGGCAAAGTGTTACGATCTCTAACCGGTTTGGTATGCTAACCGTTTATCGATTAACCGTTAGCTGTTAGTCGTTCTTTGCTTCAGTACTCGGTATTTATGTATTAAAAAATGCTGGTTAGTTCGGTGTAGATATGAAACGACTAATGGGTATGTATTCAGCTGGTTTATTTAATTCACGATGAACAGACAAATGTAGCGGCGCTACGGTGAAAAAGACGAAGTATTTAAGTTTCCCGCCTCTAACGTAACCTACGCCTTTTAGGACCCGGGGGAGCTGTTGCCATGGCGACCGCCTTCCATCACCCCTCTGCTTCC